AGCCCCAGCTGGCCTGGAACTCACTATGTAGACCAGGCTGGCCTTGAACTCACAGAGATCTGCCTGTCTCTGCTTCCCGAGTGCTGGGGTTAAAGGCGTGTGCCACCATGCCCAGTCTGGAATGAGTTTCTTATAGGTAACATATCTTTGGGTCTTGATTTTTACTTCATTCAGTCTGTTTGTATATTTTAATTGGGAGATGTAATCCATTTATATTTGTAGTTATGAGTTTTATGGTAAATTTTAAAAATGTATTCATGTTTTTTTGGTCATCATACAAATGAGTGTGTTTCGCTGTGACATTTTCATACACGTATCATTCTACTTTGTTCTTACTCATGCCCCATACTGTCTTCCCTTTCCCTACTTCTTGTTGGTCTCCTTTTCCCAAATTTTCCCTTCTCCTGCTTTCCTGTTATGTATCCTTTCTCCTCTTTTGTTCTCCCCCTTTAGACATCTTTCTCCTAGTCCCTTTTCTACTTTCATGCCCTACATACACACATACATGTGTATACACATAAACAAATATAAATTTAAATCTAGAGTCCCCATAAGAGATGAAGCATGTGATATTTGCCTTCCTGAGTCTGGATTATGTTGCTTAACATGATGATCTTCTGGTCCATTCATTTTCATGCAAATGATTTGTTTTTATGCACATACTCCAAATAATATAATTTCATGCTTCTTTACTATTGACTAAAACTCCATTATGTAAATATACCATATTTCCTTTATCCATTCATCTATTGATAGACATTGAGCTGGTTCCTGTCTTAGCTAGTGTGAATAGTGCTGCAATAACTCGATTTACAAGTATTTCTGTGACATACATACCCAGGAGTGGTACAGCTGGATCATGTGATAGTTCTAGTTTTAGTTTTTTTTCTCAATATTTTTGATTGATTTATTTTTATGTGTATGGATGTTTTGCCTCTCTCTGTGTGTGTGTGTGTGTGTGTGTGTGTGTGTGTGTGTGTGTGTGTGTGCGCGCGCGCAATGCCCATGGAGGCCAGAAAAGGGTGTCAGATCCCTTGGAACTGGAGTTACTGATGGTTGTTAGCTGACATGTGGGTACTTGGAACTGAACTCAGGTCCTCTGCAAAAGCAGCCAGTGCTCAGTCAGTGCTGAGCCATCTCTCTAGCCTCTACTTTTCATTTTCTGAAGCCCCTCCATAGTAATTTCCATATTGGCTGTATTAGTTCACATTCCCACCACAGGTATCTAGGTGTTCCTTTCTCCCCCAAATCCTCACCAGCATTTGATGATAACCATTCTGACTAGGATGAGAAGAGAGAGTATCTGCATATCTGCATAGTTTTAATTTGCATTTCCCTGATTGCTAAGAATGTCTCTACATTTCTTATTTCACTTGTTGAATTCTTTAGTTTAAGGATTTTTGTTTGTTTCTTTTGAATGATCTATATCTCTGTTAAATATCTCATTCATCTGATGAATTGACTTCCTAATTTTATTGACTTAAATGTATTCTCTTATATATTATTAAGTTTTCTTAAGTCCATTATCTTGAATTCTTTTCCAGGCAATTCATTAATTTCCTTTTCTTTGTGGTTTCTTGCCAGAGTTATTTTGTTCCATTGTAGGCATTGTGATACCTTTTCTTTTATGCAGCTTGTTTTTCCATGTTATTTGTGCATCTGGTGCTTTAGTTGCTTCTACCAGTTTTTGTCTTGAGATAGTGTCTTGCTGTGGAGCCTGGGCTGGCTTCAAACCTGAGAGCCTCTTGCCTAAAATCCTGAATGCTGAGATTATAGGTGTCTGCCATCCTGACAGTGAGTGCTAGGGAACTGAGAGGATAGGCTACATTGACTTTGGTTCTAAATGAGCACTTTAGTGCATGTAGCTTCTTCAGCTATGATCAGTGTTATTGACGTCTATAGTGTGTTAGTAGTTTAGGCTTCAGGGGGTTTTGGATTTCACCTAAATTCTCTAAGGTGATTTGCTGGCAGCTCTGGTTCAGTATATTTGCCTGTGGGTATGGGATGCCTGTAGTATGGATAAGGCTACTCTAGGGGATCTGCACATGTGAGAAATAGTTGGCATGGCTGTGGAGTCATGATTCCTATCCATTTGCAAGGACCCTGTGTCTGAGAGCTTCACAGCATCTGAGAGTTCTGTGGGGGCTGGGCTGTTCCAGTGGGCCCAGATGGGGTATTATATGTATCCAAAGATTGTACCGGTGCCAGTGCCTTCATGGACCACTGCTCAAGCTAGGTTGCCCATATGCTTCTCAGGGCCTCAGTCGGCAGAGCTTCTGAGACTGCAAAGCCTAGTTGCTTCTTGGGGCTGCAAGAAGACAAACAGTATCACAGCTCTGTTTCCTTTGGGCCTCAACCAACTACTCTGGTCAATGCTAGCTGCCAAGCTGCCTCTAGGGCTGACTTGGTTAAGCTGCTAATGCATTGTGCATCAGGAGCCTCTGTAGAGGAGGGCACAGAGGAGGGCTGAGCTTATTCTTTATGGTAATTCAATGATGTGGTAACCTGACAGCCCCCCCAAACTAGAATCAGAGCTGTGAATACTACAGGCTTCTCCAGCAATAAATGTCTCATGTGTCAATGACAGGAGGGAGAGTTGTGGGGCCTCCTGCTTGCTCTTTTCCCACAAAATGAAGTCTCTCTTGGTTCTGTTTGATTTTGAGGGATGGGACAGTATACTATGTATACTCCTTCTTTATAAGGCCATTAGGCATAGTCATACTCTGCAATGTCTGTAATATTCCCATTTCACTCAAGTGCTGGACCTCAAACACCAGTATAATAGCTATTGTTTTCCCACTGTTTTGGTCCTTGGCTATAGAGGAAAGCATGTCAGGTACCTGTAGTCAGACATGTTGCTGAATACACATGAGTCTCTTTCTAACACTTCCTCTTGAACTTGATCTGTTATCCTTGTTAATAAAATCCAGAAAAAGCAGCTTTTCCCATCTCCTAGTCATCAGCATGAACACTAGCCTTGCCAGGAGTTACCTATTGGTACACTAAAGCAAAAGTTGCAATTTAGAGCTTAGATGTTTAATTTGGCCTTCTTAGTATTCTAAAAATGTGAACAGTTCACATATAAAAATTCAGATTTCTGTTTTGTGTGTTCAAGTTGTATGCCTGGGGTAGACCAGCCGAGTAGCAGCTGCCTTAGTGAAGGTGGGAGGGCTGCATTTCACAGGCCAGTGCTCCCTGTTGTTTACACCTGGCCCACTTCACTCATTTATATCCATCCATGCCTGACCCCCGGAGGTATTTTCTCGACATAGCTCTGAGGAAAATTTTATTAATATTCTTTTAATCCTGTAGTCTAGTGCTTCTGGCATGGGCTGACCTGTGTGGCTTGGTCCTAGAATACAAAGATTTTGGGTATTTAGCAGTTGAGATAGTCTTCATTCTAGAATATTTTAGACTAGTACTAATACCTGTCTCCAGCAGACTCAAGGATTTGGGGCTTGCCTTATTCTCAAGCTTCAAAGTCACACCTGCCTATGAGAAGGTATGTTTCATACATTCACCAATTATAAACTAAGCCCTGCCTGTGCATGCAAGGTCTTGGGGATATAGTGATGATAGATGGACACAATACCTGCCCTCAGGAACTGGGAAGTTGACAACTTGGACTGCTTTTATAAATAATAATAATAATAATGATGATGATGATGATGATGATGATGATAGGTATCATGTTTCTGAGGTTACTGACTTACAGTATAGAACCTCATCTAATATATGTGCTAGATGTTGTTTCCAGTTTACAGATGTAGAAACTGAGGCTTAGAAAGTTAAGTAACTTCTCCAGAATCACAAGAAAATGAGATTTGAATTTTGTGTTGTATGATGCAAACTGAGTTCTTTTCCACTATGATGGGATCAGTACTCTCATTAATTGTGAGATGACTTAAGAGCCTCTTTTTGCCCAAGATATTTTCCTTACTAGTAGGTCCTTAAGAAGTGTGAAATTCTGCCACCTAGGTTTCATGCTTTTATTAGTTGTTAAAATGTGAAGGTTCTTAGAGGGGCTTTGTATTGTCATCAGTGACACCTAAACATCTTAACCTTAGATAATGAGGGACCCAGACAGGTGTGAGTCCCTTTCTAGTGCTGGGATGCTGCTTGAGGAGATGCATGCACATAAGACCTCCTGGGATGGGTAAGAATTGTTGAGAGACCAAAGTGAGATCTATGTAAAGTCCTTAGCACAGGTGTGGGCTCAAAGGAAGATTCCAAGAAGTAGAGAAAAAATTACAACAGGAGAAGTGGAAGGCTGGAATGACCTTCCCATGTGCCAGTGTGGGTTCCTCTTTGCTATCCCAAATGTAGTTTCCCAAAGCTCTGGAACCTCCACTTCTAGTTTCTGAGGACTGCCTGACTGCTTTTATGCAAAAACAGGCTTTAAAATGGGAGGCCAGAAAGGAGTAAAGTGAGTAATACCCGGTGTTATGTTTCATCTCTGTCTTCTGAGCTGAGTGCTCTACAGACTCATCTCGTTAATTCTTCTTGTTTTCCATGGGGTGGAATGAAGGTTTGGGGAAGCAATTTCCAACCTGGACATGTTCTTGCCTCAGTCTAGTCGGAATCCCACTTGCAATTCTTACTACATGGGATGAAATATCCCAGGACACTTATACCCTATTGGTCCCCAGGGGAATTGCTGGGTTACTTGGTAGTCATTTGGACCTCAGATGCCAGCTTTTGCACATTAAACAGTATAGTAATATGTCAAATATAAAGTAAAAGATTCTGCCAACCTTTTCCCCTAGAATTTAGCTCCCTTAAGATAGTATGAAATCTTCTGCGTATACCTGATAGCATGCTGTGTTCATTTAACCATATTGCCTATGTGCTGGTTCTGAGGCTGACCCTGTGAGAGGAATCTCAGATGTCTAAATATATCTGAGAAGAGGGAGAGGGCATAGAAAAGGAGTGTCACCTCAAGCTGTTTTCTGCTTTCTGGAGCCTTATGGTGATGGGTGAGTGCTGTTTTCTTTTTTCAGAATGAGTTTGCATTGACCAACCCAGAGAAGAGAAGCACCAAAGAATCAGACTCAAAGAAAACCAAAGCAGAGGAGGAGCTGGACACTGAAGTCCTGGAGGTGTTTCACCCTACTCAAGAGTGGCAGGCTCTTCGGCCAGGTAGCAGGGACAGTGCTGCCCCTTTGAAACACACTTTGAATTCAAAACTACTAATGTCCTTTGTTCTTGAAGGCTGGGAGCAGCCGCTCTCACAGTGTCCATCAGAGTGGTAGCTGCTGTTGTGGGGCTTGGGGACCTTCATTTTCCAGCAGAATACAGATTGTGCATATGAGTGCCCTGGAAGAAAGGTAGGTGGTGGGTGGCCATGCTTTCAGAGCAAGTGATTGAAAACTTTCTTTCCTTGCAGTTCTGAAGCACAGGCGAGGCAGTGACATGTGCCTTGCTCTGCAAATGCTATTTTGGGCTCTGCTGCTCGGCTCAATGCTGCTGAAATGTTGTTCATGGGAGAGTTCTGAGCACTGGTTCTGTTGTTAAAGGAACGTGTGTGTGCCAAGAAAAAAAAGGGACTGGTCCTTCCCTGGTATAATTGGGGCATCTTCAGAAGGAACAACTTCCTAACCCTTATATGAGCCTGAATCCAGAGCTAAAATAATAAGAAAGATAGCCAGCAATTGTGAAATGTTTATTTACCATATTCAGATATGGTGCTAGGTTCTTCATCTGCACAATCTTGTTCACTATGACTCTTCTTCACAATAATTGAGTTATTATCATCTTTATTTTTCTTTGAAAATACTGAGGCTATGCTGGATGTGGTAGTGCATGTCTTTAATTCCAGCACTTGGGAGGCAGAGGCAGGTGTATCTCTATGAGTTCAAGGCCAGCCTGGTCTACATAGCAAAATTCTCAGAGAGGTTAGGTAACTTGTCCTATGTTATTTACCTAACTTGTCCCATGTCATTGACCTCAGAACCTAGATCTGCTACCTTCCCACTTCTCCTTCCCATTTCCAGCTGTCCCTGGATAGGTGTCCACTTTGCTAACACTTGGGACTATTCTCAGGTATACAATGTTTGTAGTCTATACTGTGGCAAAGTATGACAGCTGGGGCAGCTGTCATAGCGTAGTTTTGTCAGCTCCTTGATGATAGTCATCACTGTGTCCTCACTGCCCTCATTGCTGCTCTGCTGGCAGGAACAGTATTTGCCGTGCCAGCCAGCTTTCTGGTAGCAATATCACTCCTGCTGGGCTTGCATACGAGTACTTGCTGCCATAGAGGAATGATGAAGCACTAAAGGAGCCAAGTGGGGGCTAGTGGCATTGGGCAGAGAACAGAGGTATTAGATTTACAGGTCCACCTTCTGCCTGTCCTCTCTCAGCTTCCCTGAGAACAGATCCCTCTGGTCCTTGAAGACTAAACCTAGAGGGGCTCTCAGGGGTGGGGGATAGAAGATATGGGCTATGTTCACCTGTTTTGTTTGAAGTTGTTTATACATTTTTCATCAAGTGCCTGGAGCAGATGGAATTTAATGTTCTGGGCTCCTACTTGTACTCTGTTCCTATGGCTGGATCAGTAGCCCTGTCAAGGCTTGGTTGACACTGCAGACAGAACAGGGCTTGTAGTTCTAACCTGGAGCCCCTGCCCATCCCTCTGGGCAGTGGGGCTTCTGCTAATGGCTAAAGAGCCTCTGCATATATCCTTGGGAAGGAAAAGCCAGAGCCTATGCAACAAGGGTGAGGGGAGGGTTCTGAGAGCCCTCAAAGGAACTGAAGTGAAGCACATGTTTTTCGTTTAACTTGATGTTCCTTTGATACCACCCTGTGCTTCATAGTTTTTCAAGAGCTCCTTGTAAATTCTTCTGTACAAAATTCCCTTGAAACTGCCTCAAAGGCTGTAGTGTTGCAGCTGAGCACACTGGCCCTGACACTTGGAGGCCAGAGTAACTTTGGTTCCATTCATGTCTGCCTCATACGTGTAAGAATGTTTTTCACCTCTACCTTATCTGCAAGGCAGGGCTGCTTGCTGCACAGGATATTGTACCTGTCATGAAGGTATTACTTGGTATAGATAATCTGATTTTCAGAGGTAAATTCTCTACTTGTACACACCTTAAATTTTGTGTAGAATTGGACACCAGTGAGAGTGCATGAACATTAGACTTCCTTTTTAAAAATTTTATTTATTCATTTTTTATTGAATTTTTGCAATTTATATACAATATAATTTGATGGCATTTAGATCCCCTTCCCTATCCACACTTCCCCTGACTGCCTCCCACACAATTTAATGTAGTCTATTATATATGTAAGGCTTATAGAGTCTAATTAGTGTACCTAAATGACTTTCAGCATAGATCCATCCACTGGAACCTGGTTAACTTTACCAAATAACCAATCCTTGAAAGAGACTATTTCTGCCCCTCCTAAGAAGCCATCAGTTGCCATGATTTCCTTAGGTTGGGCTGGGGTTTCTTATTTACTTCCTCATGTCTTTGCTGGGATTTTGTCTGGTTTGAGATTTCATGGGACTTGTGTGTGCTGCTCCATTGCTGTGTGTTCATATGAGTAACTGACCAGATGCCTAGAAAACTCTGTTTCCTTGTGGTCGTCTACCACCTCTGGTTCTTACCTTTCTGCCCCCTCTTCTGAAATGATCCCTCAACCTTGGAAGGCAGAAGTTTAATATAGGTGTCCTATTTCAGGGGTAAGCAGTCTGTAGCCTCTTGTTCTCTGCACACTGGTCAGTTGTGGGTTTTACATAAGGAAACTTCACTGTTGAGAGTTGAGAGATGCATTAATCTATACGTATAACAGTAAGTCATCAGAAGTCAGTTTAATATGATAATTATTTAGTAGAAAGCTGGTATTAGGTTCTCTCCTATCTAACCTGTCTGGCCTCAGGTTCTTAAGCCTGATACCAGTGTCAGATATGGACTTTGTCCTAGGAAGCAGACCTTAAATCCAATTAAAGAGTGGTTGGTTACTCCCATAATATTCTTGCCACTATTGCACCAGTGGTCAGGGCATAGCTTGCCAGGCCAGTTGTTATAGTAGTTCACAGGAGTCACAACTGGGTGGAGTTGATGATTATTTTTTTCCTTCTGGTAGCATGCGTAGCACTTTCTAGCACTATGAATGTTAGCCAGTAGAGATGAGGCTCAGAAGTCAGCACTAGCTTGATTTCTCCTTGTTCATTCTACAGCTCATGTACATGGTGTTTTCAGCAGTAGGGTATTATCATCAAGTTCTGGTGGGTAAGCAAGAGCAGGGGCAATGGCCAGTATTGTTTGAGGATCTATGGGAGTCTGGTCAACAGCTTCTACAGAGGGAGTTCATTCCTGGTATTGAGGTGGTTTTTTGTTTTGTTTTGTTTTTTATTAGCCTATGACGTCTAGAAGGAGCAATTTAGTCTCTCTCTCTCTCTCTCTTTTGGTCTTTTTGAGACAGGGTCTCCCTGTAGCCCTTAGCTGGCCTGGAACACACTGTGCAGACCAGGCTGGCCTTGAACTCACAGAGATCCTCCTGCCTCTGACTGACTCCCAAGTGCTAGGATTAAAGGCGTGCTCCACCATACCTGGCATCCTTTTAACCTGTTTTTATAATGTATATGTATAGACTTTAAGAAGCTTCTGTAGGGCTGGAGAGATGGCTCAGCAGTTAAGAGGACTGGCTGTTGTAGAAGACCCAAGTGTGAATCCCAGCACCCACAGAGCAGCTAACAACTGTCCTTAACTCCAGTTCCAGGGTATCTGACACCCTCTTCTGTCCTCTGAGGGCACTGCACGACATGGGTGCACTTACATAAATACAGGCAATACACTCATACACATAAAATAAAAATAATATTTTTAAAAATATTTTATTATTTTTATTTTTCATGTGTATGAGTGTATTGCCTGCATGTATGTGAGGGCACCTGTGCCATGCAATGCTGAGGAGGTCAGAAGAGGGCTTCGGATTCCCCTGGAACTGGAGTTAAGGACGGTTCGTAGCTGCTATGTGGGTGCTGGGAATTGAACCTGAGTCCTCTGCAAGAGCAGTCAGTGCTCTTAACCTCTGAGCCATCTCTCTAGCCCCATAAAAATTAATAATAATTTTTAAAAATTAAAAAGAGAAGCTTCAATAGTGGTAGGTTTCCATATGGTGTTTTCTCAAGGCCTTTAGGTTATTTACCCTTCCTCATACTCCTTCCTCAAATGCAGCCTTCCTATCCCTATGGTCTTACCTGGGGAAGGGGACTTAGAATATCAAGGAAAGATTTCTATGTCATGAAATGCTCTCTTCCTTTTTCCTTCAACAGCATTTTTGATGAGGGAGCAGGGATAAGCACAAATAGAAAAATTAGCAGAGCATTTCCTCCTTGAGAGTTAGAGGCAGACACAGGAAGGTGGTGGAACCCTTGGTGATTTTAAGGAAAATAGTAGTTTATATAGACAATTATTGACCCCTTTCTTGGGCTCCCAGTTCTGTCCTTCTTTGAAAACACCTTCAGTCTCTGAAGGAAATGTTGCAGCTCTCAAGGGGAGGAATACTGGGGTACATGGGCTGTTTGGGTTGTGGGCTGAGCTCATTTAAAGGCAGATTTCCAGACTGCCTGCAGTATAGCTTGGCACACCAGGGGAACAACACGTGACTTCTAGACCAGGTGGGAATCGGGCCCCAGCCATACAGCATACACAGCACTGAAACAGCTACAGGTCTCCCTGCTGAAGTCTGCCTGCCTCTGTTGTTACTGTCAATATCCTCACTGGGAGTTGCTTGTTCCTGGAAGTGATTTTCCTGTCTCTGATTTATTTTGGGATCTGCCTTACCTTACAGAGGCACAGCAAGCATTTGTGTATAGATTCAGCATCAGCTGTTTACAAGAAGGCTATTTGCTGGCAGGCCTTGTTGGTTCTAGGCAGGGAACTCAGAAATTTATCCTGGGACTGAGGGCTCCTAAATTCTAGAACTTTGTACTTGTCCTTGTTATTACAGAACACTGATCACAGCCAGAATCAGTGGCTTTCTCATCCCTAAGCATTTTCTGAGATCCTGCTTTGTGCCAGGCACTGTACTTGTAGCTAGAGATACACATTTACTCACATTTACTGAATGTTGACTCTGCCAGACACCCTTTGAGGGCAGATGCTACAACTATCCTCATTTTTATAGACAAA